GCTTCACTCTGGTTGTACCCTTCTCCAGAACATCACTTCACCTGAGATCATTTATTCCCAGGATGACTTAAGTCTGGGACACGTTCGTACAGCATAATAATATTGAGATGAAAATGCTGGCCCACAGATGACTCCAACTTCATCCTGTTCCCTACTTGTATGTTTCATAACAATGAAAATGCTTTCAAATGAGCTGATGTAGGTAACAGCTTCTAGCTTGTCAAAGTTAGGAATCCTTAACCTAATCTTGTCAAACCCTGTGTAAAAAAGGGAGAGAGAGAGTAGGACCTTGCGTTCAGTGGCATTCTGCTAATATGGACATTTCAAATTATAACCAAAACTTGCTATATGGCTTCCCCCACCTGACTTTCCAATAGTCGCAGTACTCCAACTGGTTTATCGATTCTCCATGAGCACTTCTCTCCATTATGTATGGAAATGTTTCAACATTTTAAGGGTTTTAAAGTTATTGCGTACTTTGTGTACTCTGATAATTATACTTATGTGTACCTGTACCTAAATAAACTTATGCACTGTGCTGGCATGCAGGTACACCTTAAAATCACTAAGAGTGCCCCTCTAAGCTTGATGCCATAATAATACTGTATGTAATAATAATCACACTTGGGCACATTAACCCTTTCAGGGTCCAGAGACCAAATTTCAAAGTGTGCACCAGGGTCCAAGAATTTAAAAAAAAAATTTTAGTTTTTCTTATGAAATGGTAGAGAATCTTTTTCTGAAGGTAATAAAACAAAAAGTATGAAATTTGATGGAAAATTGACGAAATTATGCTCTCGCGAATTTTGATGTGTCAGTGATATTTACGCATTGGCGATTTTGCCGACTTTGACTCCCATTTTAGGCCAATTACATTATTCCAGTTGACGAAATTCTTAGCTATTACTTCTATTCTATAGTATTACTTCTATTCTATAGATTGAGCACAAGAAATCATCAAGTCAACTGTTTCAACTACAAAACAAAGTGATCGGAAATTGGTAATTTGGCCAATTTAATGCAAAGTTCAAAATATTCCAATTTCAAAAATAGGGTCCAGAATAAACAATGCAGGCATTCATGGCACTAAACTAACATTTCCTCTGTTCATTAGTTACACGTTCAGGCTTTACAAATGAATTCCATGTTTATTCAAACCAAAATATTGAAGATTTACTGTTATGCAATATTGTAATAATTGTATAAATAATATCACCACATTTGTGAACGTATATTAGACCCACTAGCTGGCGTGTATTAGACATGCGAGGTCATTTGTTTACTCTTGAACATTGGCAAAAATTTAACATTTCCACTACTTTGAGCTCAAGTTTCAAACCATTTCCAGTACTAAAACCAATCAAAATCATCTCTATTTCTGTAATATATCTTCCATTCTATCAAAAGAGACCAAGAAATTGCAAATACACCTATAAAAAACATACAAGAAAAACACTGCAAAGTCGCTGTTTTCATTGAAAATTACAGTGTTTTTTTTCTCTCATTATGCACTGTGTGCTGCAGGATTTGTTTTATGTGGTGCACACATACCACATAGATGTATTCTCTCATATCTAGGCCCAAAATTACCGCTCACAGTTTATCAGAGTGAGCTGAGCTCATGGCGTAGATCTACAGTTTGGACCCTCAACTCAAAGCCGTAGATCTACGGCACGGACCCTGAAAGGGTTAAATGTCATATTATACATTAATATAGACATTTTCATTAATCCATTTATGATATTTTCTTCAAAATTATATCAGAAATGCGTTACATAGCATATAAACATGATACGTACACCCACAGTACAATAAATTTCACATAAATATGAGGTGTGGTAGCTGGGTGGAAGGTAAAAATTACGTTATCTCTGGTCCAGCACCCGAGGAAATGTGTATCAATCCGTCTTTGACCCAGTCACTCGGCATGACTTCTTCTCATCACTTCTCCCTTCATTTATGATGGCATCTAAAGATAGAAAGAAATGAATGTACTGTATTTTATCGTTCTGGGGCCACTTTAAAAATCGTATATTATGTTTGGGATGGCTACTTACACCTACATGCTACCTACATCTGACTTCCTACAAATACTGCTCACCTCTCACCTTACATTGACTAAAAATATTTTAAGGTAAGTAATGAATGTACTGTGTATGTATTTTACTTCTAATTGTTTTTAATGCCTAGTTCTACTGTTAGCTTAATATATGTTAGTGTAAACTTGTTATCTGACATTTGTATGCATTTATAAGTGGGAAAAAATGGTGTTCTGCTTCCCAGCGATGTCCACTTTCTGGCGGTAGCCTGGAACCTAACCTGCCGTATGAGTGGGGCCCCACTTTATATGTACAGTGGTACCTTGGGATACGAACTTTTTTCATTCCAGAAGGCTGTTCGAGTGCTGATACTGAACGAATTTGTTCCCATAAGAAATAATGTAAATTAGATTAGTCTGCTTCAGACCCCAAAAATGCACTTACACTTACATAATTGTTTAAGTTTTGAGCTGTTCGTAACCCGAGGTACCACTGTATATATATATATATATACATGTGTATATGCATGCATGAAAGGAAGAAAGGTACTCAGAGATTGTCAGAAAGCATGTATAGTTCCTCATTATAAGGGAAAGAGGAATAAGATGGTATTCCCATTGACCCTGAAACTGTCCAAACGTAGATCTACATTCACTTGAGTGGTGCTCTGAATGCTTTGAAAAATAAAAAAAATAATTTTTTTTATTTTAAAATGAAGAGCACATTTTTCTACATGTTATAGGATTAAAAAAAAATTTTAGGGTCAGTACTTACCGAGATATAAGACCATGAAGTTGGCTCTGGATGCTCACCTGATGGCAACATCGACTCCTGCCACTTGCAAAGTGTTGCTGATATACCTTTTTTTCTCATTTTTATTTTAATTTATTTATGTTTTATGTTCTGATAATTACAATAGTTCTTGTGATTTCATAGACAATCTTTGTTCTGACCCTAATATTCAGTACCGAAATTGTACTCAAATAGTCACAATCACACTGACAGGTGAACATTTACATCTGCCTAGGTTATTTACTACTGTCTAGAAATATATACAAAGTATTTATAGGTCCCAGCAATGTTTTAGATACCCTGGCATATACTTTGAAGCATGGTGTTATGAAAGGCAGCCCAGTGACATTTGATAAATGCCCACTGCTCCAGCTAACCCTCGCTGTATTTACCACTGTTACATACAAACATGTCTCTGTCTGTCTGCCTGTCTGTCTTTCTGTCTCCCTGGAGTGTACGTATATCAAACTCCTTGAAGAATGGTGTTATGACAACTGACATTTGATAAATGGGTGTTTGGGGGAACCCTGGCTTTATTTTTTTTCACTGATACACACAAACATGTTTGTCTGTCTATCTGCCTATCTATCTTTGCCTGGATTTTTTCAGTTATTCTAGGTAATTTACACTATGTATAATAACTGTACTAAGTGTGAGAGATGCACAGATACAGAGATATACACAGAGAGAGAGCCAAAGCCAGACAAAGCCAGCCAGCCAGCCTGCCGAATATATAAGAACATAAGAAAGAAGGAACACTGCAGCAGCCCTACTGGCTCATGCAAGGCAGGTCCATGTCCTCTCCCCCCAGCTTAGACCAATGACCCACCTAGTCAGGTCACATCCACTGAAGGAAGGAGCACGACATCAGACCTAGTAGCACAAGCTAGTCAGGTCCAACTCACACCCACCCACACTCACTCATGTATTTAGCTAACCCTCGCTGTATTTATCAATGTTACACACAAACATGTCTGTCTACCTGTCTCTACTTATCTGTCTTTCTGTCTGCCTGGAGTATACGTATATCAAACTCCTTGAAGAATGGTGTCATGACAACTGTGACATTTGATAAATGGGTGCTTAGGGAACCCTGGCTTTATTTGTTTTCACTGATACACACCAACATGTTTGTTTGTCTGTCTATCTGTCTGTTTATCTTTGCCAGGAATTTTTGAGTTATCCTAGGTAATTTACACTATGTATAATTGTACTTATGTGTACATGTGAGACAGACAGAGAGACAGCCAAAGCCAGCCAGCCTATCGAATACATAAGAACATAAGAAAGCAGGAACACTGCAGCAGGCCTACTGGCCCATGCAAGGCAAGTCCCTGTCACCTTCCAACCCCCTCCCTTCCCAGCTTAGACCAATGACCCACCTAGTCAGGTCACATCCATTGAAGGAAGGAGCACGACATCGGACCTAGTAGCACAAGCTAGTCAGGTCCAACTTACATTTACTCATGTATTTATCTAACCGGACTTGAGTCCTGGAAATGGGAAGTACAATGCCTGCACTTTAAAGGAGTAGTTTGGGATATTGGCAGTTTGGAGGGATATGTTGTGTATCTTTATACGTATATGCTTCTAAACTGTTGTATTCTGAGCACCTCTGCAAAAGCAGTGATAATGTGTGAGTGTGGTGAAAGTGTTGAATGATGATGAAAGTATTTTCTTTTTGGGGATTTTCTTTCTTTTTTGGGTCACCCTGCCTCGGTGGGAGACGACCGACTTGTTGAAAAAAAAAAAAAAAAAAAAATTATCTAACCCATTTTTACTTTCTTAAAATGGGAGTGTTACTGCAACATGGCATCAGTGAATCCCTAGTGTTTGCCATGCTATTTGCTCTAGCTGGCACTCAATTGAACTGGTGCTCCCAGATTTTTTTAATACTGCACACACTGAGTGCACAGACCCATTCTTTCATGTCTAGGTGACTCAAGCCTATTGTGCCAAATTTGAAGGAATGAAAAATAAAATGTTGATCTACATTTGGAGCGCTACACGTGTAAACGTAGATCTACATTTGGACAGTTAAATTAAAATTTATGCGCAGATCTACATAAGCAATGCTGGCATCAGGAATCAGATCTATGGATGAGACAGTGAAAGGGTTAAAAGATTCTAGCTCTATCTCACTCCTTAAGACATTAATGTGCACCTCACCTCAACAGCCAGTTGTGTGCAGGTGTTTCCAATGGGTGTGACAATGTGCTCTCTAATGTTCCTCTTTCCTTTGACCTTCCTCTTACGTGCGTGGGAAAGTAAGTATGCCGTATGTCCATCCAGACCTGTACTCAGAGTAGTATATATGAGTCTCTTCCAATTAATGTTACTCTTATTTTAATTTATTCAGTGCTGATTCAGCTAAGACAGTTATGTTGATACAAAAATGCACTTATAAAATTATAGACACGAATAATAATAATAATGGGATTGCAGTACATTCATGGGGTGTTAAATGCATAGGGGTCATTCCAAAGGGAGGGCAGGTTCAATTCCTTGGATCAAGAGTCCCTCACCAGCATCAAGGAACCTCCCTTGAGGGGTGTAAGACCCACTGAAGGATCACTGATGTTGGCTGAAGTGGAAACAGAGAAAAATATAATACATAACCTTGTTGATAAAGTCAATCATTATAATTTGTCCAGGAAAACTGAACAGATGGATGCTGAGGTGAAGGAAGGATGCTATTTTAAGTCCGCTCTATGATTCTACCTCGGTTATTTCACAGACCACAGACATGACTATGGCCTTGGTAAGTGGCAAGCCTATGAGAGCCTACAGATGGGCAACAAGTTATAGAGTTTAGCTCTTTTCCTTAAACAGGGATCATCAATTTGAAACTTTTTCTTCCTTCAAGGAAGGTGCCTTGATGCTGAAGGACTCTTGATCCAAAGAATTGAAAGGACTCCTCCTTTTTTTTGGATTAAATACATTTACCTCCTATTCCCATGTCACTGTATGAACTCTAATGGGTTTAGCAACCTCCTTCCCCCTCACTCCCAATAAAAAAAAAAAAAAAAAAAAAAAAAAACTTTTCTGTAGAGTGAGGATTAGGCATACAACTCAGTCATGACCACATGCTTGCAGGCGCTCCCGCTCCTGTGTGTGTGACCGGGGCATCATTTAACTGTCGAGTATATTTTAATGTTTTGCCCAGGGCATCTTTTTTTTTTTTAATTACTAGGGTGTCTTTAGAGAACTGTGGCAACTTCTAGAAGTCATTCAACATTTATAATTTATTTAGATTTTTACTTATTCATTCCTCTTCAAGGGGGGCTCCTTGGCGTGGTGAAGAGGCTCTTGGTCTGAGGAATTAGCCCTGTCGGTCTTCTTCCTCAGACCGAACCTAATTACCCCCCATTCTCCCCTCCCCTATCCCATCCTCCCCATCCTCCCCTTTTTCCATTCCTCCTCCTCCTCCCCACCCCTCCCTTTTGCCCTTCCTCTTTTTGGCCTTTGGGATTTCTCCCACAGGCGCGCTAGTTCCTAGGTAGGGGAAAGGACACTGGGGTCCATCCCATTCCGTTGAGGTTCTTGGCGGTGGGCGTAGTTTGCCATGGAATCTGGATTGCCTGGGATGTCCCGTTCCCTCTCCCGGGATCCCGGAGTAGCTTTGGGTATCTTTCGGGTGACGGGTGTATCTCTGGAAGCCCCCTTTCGGATTCCGGGGGGTGGTGGCGAAGGAGGTATGCTTTGTGGCGGATATCCGGCCGCCCTCTCTTTTGTCCACCGAGGTAGCTCGGCAGATGTGAGGTTGCTATCCCGGATTGCTGGTTTACTGGCATGAAGGGTAGGGTATGGCACGGGTTCCATGCTGGGATCTGCGTACTAGCGGTGTTGAGGTCCTCTTGGGCGCGGAGGAGATTTCCGGCCCTTTCATTCCCCCTGGAACTATTCCCCCCCGCTCCCCCCTTTTTTATTCTTTTTTTTTATTTTTTTTTTTTTT